ACCATTTCAGACAAATGGCTGTCCAGTCTCTTCTTAAAAAGTTCCAGTATTTTCTTGGATTGTGACTTCCTGCATTCAGTCACTCATGCCCTGGTCAACTCGTGTTTGGACTACTGCAATGCACTCTACATGGAGCTATCTTGAAGAGTATTGGGTGCAGAATGCAGCTACAAAGGCAGTTCTAGGAGGCCTCTAGGGTAGCCCACATAGCATCACTGTTATGTGAGCTGCACGGTTACCAGTTTACTTCCAGGTCCCACTTCAAGTTATTGGTTATCGCCTTTAAAGCCCTTCATGGCATAGGGCCTGGCTACTTGAGGAACTGCCTAACCCCTATGGAACCCACTGATTTAATGCTGTAGTCTTCATTGGTCAAAGAATTCTAACTGGTGATGTCCAGGAAACAGGCCTTTTCTGCCATGGATCCTGCCTTCTGGAGCACTGAGCCACTCAAGGTGAGATCCGCCCCTGGCTGCATGGCCTTTGAAAGAGCTCCAAACCTGGCTCTGCCAATTGGCCTGGGACTTGATGGGAATGTTCAGTCCTTGAGGTGGTTAGTGGACAAGGATTCCACTTCTGCCCTATTGTATTCTGGTTCCTATATAATTAATTTACTGTATGTGAATTTAAATATTAATGTTTTAATGTCTCTGTTTTTTGATGCTGTAGCCACATAGAGTTACTTAACAATGAGCATATAAATTTAATAATAAATAAATGTTTGCACAATAGTTAGCACTTGATGAAAATATCTGGTCATCTGTTATGTCATTAAAAAGTAATAAAATTTATCAGTATAACCCTCAAATTTAGAGACTGGAAGATCAAATTACATCTGGTGGCATCATAAAAAGGACACTGTGTGAGGACATGTGCAACAGTTTCTCCCTGGATCCACAAGGGCAAAGTATTTATTAATAAGGAGTCCCATGAAATCTTCCTACCAGCAATGTTGAAGGAAGGGCTGTCAGAGTAGACTCTGGAAAAGGTCCATCTATATTTGCTTAGGGTAGAAGGTATAGAAACTGCAGTAGAGGACTTATTGGAGTAGAGTGGTGAGGATGGCAGAAAAGATTATTGGAAGTTCACCTCCTAATATCCAGGACATAGCACATGAGTGATGCTTGATCAGGGTCTGCAGTATTGTCTGGGATGCTACACATCCTCTCCATGACCGTTTTCTTTCTTACCTTCTGGGAAGAGGTTTCATAGTATTCGAAGCAGAACAACTAGATCAGTGTTTCTCAACCTTGACAACTTTAAGGCATGTGGACTTCAACTCCCAGAATTCCACAGCCAGCAATGCTGGCTGTGGAATTCTAGGAGTTGAAGTCCACATGCCTTAAAATTGTCAAGGTTGAGAAACACTAAACTAGATTCTGCAATAGCTTTGTATATATAGAATGCAGCCTTGTTAACTCTCTTTTCCGCTATGTATCCAATATCTTATGTTACTGGTATCTAACATTTAGCAATAGACACAGATGCCCTAGTGATATCATTTTGGCAAAGTCCCTAATTATTTCTTTTACAATTGATTCAACAACACTGTGGTTGTTTTTGTGTAACTCTATTGCAAACAACAACAAAAGGAGTCAACTAAATTTAGGCTAAATTACAGGTTTGGGAAGGACAAACTAAATACATTCACAAGTAGTCCATAGATTTAATGTCTTCATAAAGGATATGTAAATTTGAAAAAAAATATCTTTTCATTTCATTTCAATCCAGATCAAACTGCTGCATTAAGTTCTTTTTATTTTAAGGTCAAATATTCTCTATATTTGGAAATAGGAAGATCTTGCACAATTGTATTTGAAGATCTCCAGGGCCAGATGTTTGGCACTGATAGCCTTTTGGGGGGAAACAAAAGAGGGGCCTGGAATCAATCTCTTTTACATCCTACTCCCAATCAATAACTCCATAATTGCCACATTCAGACAATGCAGTAAAATTATCATAAATCCCAGATGTGGATGAGATTTTATCATAGGAATCATACGTTTATCCATGTAGGACTTTATACTTTAGAGAAAAATTGGAGGTTAGAGAAACATAACAGGCTTTGCATTGAAAAGGTTTTGGTGAAATCCCTGGAGATTTGTTGTTTTTCAGCCGTAAATTGATCGAAGGTCTAAATCAGCATCAGACAACTTCCACTTGTCTATATAAATTAACTGTCTTGCATTATATTGAAATGGACAATTTTTGACAACCTCTTTAAGAATTCAGCAAGCTTTTCTCAGACTTTTAATACAAGACTCAAAGTTGTACTACATTCTACTAACAATACAATTTTTCCCCGCTCCAGACCAGATGTGAATCCCTCTCAAATCACTGTATTTACTTTTAATGTATGGGTATGAACCAGAACTTAAGGTTCTCATCCTTGACCCACCTGGAAGTAAGCCAACCTGCATAAAAATCTGTGAGGATCAAATAACTGTGATGTGAAAAATCTGTGAATTAGATCCATGATCTTTTCTTTCCTCAATAATTTCAGAAAAGTGGTAAAGCCCAGATCTAAATTGCAGAATTTCAATTTAAATTGGAACCATTTTTGTTTAAATTTTACTCCTGCTGCCATCACAGACAATTTTTTCCCATCATGTTAATTGATTCATTATTGGGTCCTTCAAATTCAGCATGTAATTTGACATCCACCAAAATGTTTTTCTGATATTTTAAACATGTATCAATATTATTCTCACCTAATAGATATACTTTTCTAATTAAGGATTGAAGAGAGCTCGGAAGGTGGCCTTTAAGCAAATATACAGAAACTGTTACCTAAACGAAAATGACAGAAGCATTCCCTAAAAGCCCTGGGAATAGAGATAATAGGTTTCTTCTTTAGGCTGACTCCAACCGTGATTCAACTGGTATAAGATAACAAAATAAATAGGGTTTCTTACCAGTACTTTCCTCCCAGACTTGGTAAAAAAGGCAAATATTGTATGAAAAATATTTTCCTTTTCCTGAGGAATAACACATGGTGTTGAGTTATTCTGAAAAGAGCAGTTCCCTTTGTCCTGGGCAACCTAAAGAAAGATTACAAAATGCACCCTGTAACGTTGTACACCGTGTTTGGGACATTTTGATATATATATATCTTATTATTCATCTGTTGTAGTTGTTGTTATACTTCTACATCATCTATAAGAAAATATAATGAAACAAAAGCTATTTCTGCTGCTAATTTCTGCTGCCAGAAAAACACTCCTTGTTTAAATACATGAACTAATTGCACTGAAAGCAAAGTGAAAATTGTACCTATTAAAAAAAAAAACTAGGGAGGGGGATCAATTTTCATTTGATGATTATAACCAGTCCTAAAATGACTTTATTTGGAAGTATGAAACATCTATTTGCATGAAATGGAGTGATGATTGTATCTCAACAATATGATTGCTATTCACTAAAGCTCCACACCACATCATTGTGGAAATCTCAAACAGTAAGACGGCAGGGAAGAAACTCTCAAAGCAAGAGCTACTTGCTTTGGGAAGGAGCTTTCCCCCCCCCCCCCCCATTCACATGCTTGTGTGAATTCTGGTGTTGTAATCCTTACTTATGTAGAAAGAGTCAGGGTAGGATGGTTTGCTACAAACAATTCTATGTCTGCACTTATTCTGAATGCAACCAGAATTCAAAAACTGTGTTCAGTTTTCACACTGTAGTTCAATATTTTTCATTAATTACTAATACCATCAGTCACACCTATAACACATAGAACCAAGGAAGAGATTAATCATCCTGTACAGGTTTTTATACTCCTTTAAGATCCACTTTGAAGAATAGGCTGTATTTTACATGGCAACAAATCTATCTGGACTAGTTCAGCAACCAAGAATGGACATTGTTAACCTTGTTAGGCATAAACAATAAAGGCTTTCAGGTTTGGGAAAGAGGAAGTCCAGATGCCATCTAATGTATGAATAGCAAGAAGAAATATGTGCTTTATTTTATTTTAGAACATAGCAATAGTTTCAAGCCTAGAGTTGAACACAACCTTACAAGGCATCCAAAGAGAGAGTTTACATGTAACATTCCCATGCTCAAGTGCTCAACAGCTGAAATTCAAGACAGTGCTTACATTTGGCCTTTCTTGGATGGCCAAGGAGACTAATTTATGCACTGTAAGGATGCCAGATGATATTGATATTAAGTGGAGCTTCTCAGAAGATTCCTTCAAACAGCTGTTATAAGATGCAAGTTGATTAGACTGACACAAAACTGAATGCAGTCCACCATGCATAAATTTTGTCCAGGACAAGATGAATCTCATTGTTTTGCTGATTGAACAGAATTACCAAAATTGTCTGAGTCAGAATGAAAGGGAGTTCCTAAAATAATTTTGTAGACAGTGCTGCACTGCATGTTGTTTCTGCTCCCAAGATAACATGGACCTTGTACTATGTGTTGTAATGTCCAGAATCCATTGATCATAAATGCCAAAATTTCCCATTTCCACCATTTGGGAACAAGGAACATGAAAATTGAATTTCTTAAATCCTATTATAAGTTTGATGTACATTTTTATAAACCCAAAAATTTCACAAATAAAGCCATGTATTGTTTGTTGATAACTTTGAGTATTCATACATTATTTTTATTGACTTATTTTGATTTTGTTTTACCCCATCCAGTGTCTATTTGGACTACAATAGGTTAAAATATTGTGAATTAGTCAATAAAACCAAACTTAGAAAAAACTTGTTCTGATCAGTGCAAGTCACAATTAAGCTTACTTTGCTTACTGTGGCCTCCTGAATTCTCAAAGAAAAAGTTATGGCTCCTGGTTACCAAAATATTGCCCTTCTTCAGTGGTGGTGAAATCAGCCAGTTTGTACCACTTCGGCAGAACTGGTAGCTAATTTTTTGTTGCCCAGGCCCAGAATGGATTTCCAGAAGTGGCATCCACACAGAGAACCGGTTGTTCACATATCTTACCTTATAACTGACACTAAAGTTACACTTTGGATTTGCCAAGACCCAAAAGCCTTCTAGAGTAAATGATACAGTGGGCAGTTGGAGACCCTTTTAGCATTTGTTATGCAACAGCATATTGATTGCATTAGTAACAATGTAGAAAAATAAAAGTTTGCCTATATTTAATTAGTTTATAAGGGAGGTCAAACATAATGGCAAAACAAGATACTAAGAATATTAAAGTTGAGAGACTGTGCACAGGGTGGCATATACATTTAATAAACAAATATTTTTACATACTTCTCTAAACCTACCCTATCTTTGATATGGCAGAAACTCCTCTAATTCCAAAGCTAATCTCACTGTTTTCTCATCACTCACCTAAATCTATTAGGAATTAGTATATACCAATGAATAAAACTGTTTTACAATCACAAGCTAGCAAAAAAAATATCCCAAGAAATATATATATTTCTGATTGTCCTGGGATTGTTGCTAGAAAAGGTAGAATTAAATTTCAATTTAACCACAAATAATATTTTCAGTGTAGTACCATATTTGTGAGAATTTCAATTTCCTCCATATGACAAGGGCAGAGATAGCAAATTAGAGGAATATTATAGTAGTTCCCTTACAATAGTGAAGAGATAAGGGCATTAAAATTTTCCCTTATGAAAATCCAGCAATATTTAGATATGTAGATTAGTGCATAAAAATAAGATGATCCCACTCCATCAAATAAAGCTGAGTGTTGCAAAAACTGGGCAAATGAAACTAGATTTAAGGAATAATCCATTCCTTAGCCCTGTTCCTATTTAATCTACATCAATTGTCTACACAGGTAAGCCATGTGACATTATTTTCTAGATAACAGCTAATATGTATATTTTCTTTCTTTTTCTCTACACTAATATTTACCTTTGCTAAATGCTTCCCTTAAAGCTGCTTTTTACAGCATGAATGAGAACACAGATATCATTTAAAAATTGTAATATATTTATATAAGCAGAAATCTTCATCTGAAAGATGGAGAATGCCAGTTTATCATCTTTGTCTCAACAGAGAAAAGGTAACTAGTGCCTGTACTATTAGGAAAGCTATTAGTATAGAGTACTGCTCAGTCTTTATCGCGCAAAGAAAATGTAAGAAGCTGGTGGACACTAGCACAAAAAGCTTTTTCCTCATGAGAGATAGTAACATTATTGTGATGATACATTTCTGAATACTGAATATGATATCACTTAAGATAATTGCTTAGTTGTGCTTCAATACTGTAAGGATTTCACAGAATGGGAAAACTACCTAAATGACACATTTCTTCTTTCCTGATAATAAACTAGGTTTAATTCATGTATACAGTATATCACCTGATCATCTGGCAATATTTGGTAATTCTCATTGGAGTAAATTGGATGAGCTGCTGAAACAGACAGTCCTGGATGCACAGAAGATTGAATAGACATTGATTATAGAGTGGATTTTCTCCAAATTCTCTTTCTTCAACTATTACTAAGATTCTGGAACCACACAGAAGAAATCAAAAAAGGGCCAAGATAAGGAAAGCATTTTGGACATATACAAGTAGAAGTGATTTCCTATTCATGTAAAACAGATTTAGATTCAAGCCACTGTGCTAACATTGTCATCAGTACTAATTTACAAAGTAACATCAGTAATAACTTATAAAGATATTTAGGCTGAAGTGCAATGGATTTGAACTTGTTCATAATTCAAGTGAATAATCTCCTCCTTTCTTCATATTTCAGATTTTCCCCATGAGCATTTTAATATCATAAGTTAGCACTGGCATTAGATTATACTTTCATTCTTGAAATGCAAATCTGTGGATATGCACGTTACTGTACATGTTACTATCCAGTAAAACTATACAAAAAAGAGGCTGCACATTAGCTTACCATTATCTGTCGAATATGGAACATATCAGCTCCAGTAGCTGAGAGACGATTGGGAATTGAAATGGCAACAAAAGATCCAGGAAGGGTACTTGGCCCAGCATTGTAGACCTTCAAAAAGATAGGAACAAATGAAATACTGTATGTACATGCTTCAAAAATGTATGACAAGGCAGCTATTTTTTTGTTTAGCCCATATCTTCATCTGATTTAACTATCTCCCTTAATGACTGAGAAAGGGGAAATGATATTTTTTCTCCAATAGAAATCTATGTTAAGGATAAAGGGAGTATATTCTACAGTAAACTATTTATCTGAATGCAAAGCTTCACAATACACATTAGGTGAATCTCATTTGAGAGCACTCAGGCTAATGGTTATCCCAGTCCTGTGTATATATATATATATGCATATACCAAAATATTTATATATGGAAAAATAAAATAGTTATATATGGAGATATGTATGTATGTATGTATGTATAATCTTGAATAAATGATGGTCTATAAATGGTTCTGTTTGAATTCAACTGACTCTAAATATCCAAACATGTAGACGTCATTTTCCAAACATTGCTCAAGCTTTGAGAAATGTATGAATGATAAAGAGAAGCAGTCCAGGATGCCAAATCCTTACACAACCCCAAAGGCATTAAAGGGGGAAGAAATCCAGCTATAGCCACCATAAACTTCAACTGCTGCATAAAAATGCAAGCATTGGATATTGTATCAGAATACAAAGGTAATGTTATAATGAAAATAGATACATAAAAGTTGCTTGAATCTCAACAGCAAAGGAGATGGAAAAATCCCTTGTTTTTTAAATTTACTTCATTGGACTTAAATATATATTTTAATACTATTACAATTTCTTTAAACCATGGCATTCTTTCTATTCAAAGGCAAAAGCAGCTGACTTGTTACCTTTTTAGTAGAATTTTTCAAGCAAAGTAGCTTAGCTATGCATTATTCACAATATTCCTGTTAATTAAAGCTGCTTTACCTCATAGACATCAATAGAAGACCATGACATATTTCTGCATGGAATTCAGATATAAATTAGAGTTGAGCCAAAGGATTATTTTTCCACATATATTTTCAATGATGTTTTAAGATACTTTTCCCCCATGTTAACAAAGGAGGCAGAAGGCATTATGAAAAGCATGAAAATATTCAATAATTGAAAAAGCATTGCTTTTACTTTGGCATCTCCTATTTGCCATATGATTTACTTTAATAATCCCTATTATAGGAATGAATATAGGGGCAAGTTCTTTTAGCAGGAATGTCAATCTTTATTTATTTAAGCAGTTTTTCAGAAAATATTTTCTGTGCTAGAGGAAATCACTGTTTCTGATCTAATTGCTAAAGTGCTTTTGGTTAGATACAATTCTCTTTTGGGAAGTCATCAAGCAATCAACAGATTAATTTGATATTCATCTTCTGTTTAGTCATTATTTCAGTAATACACAGTCAGTTTGATGTTTAGATTGGATTTGGCACTTTTATCTACCTGTCCAGTCCTTCCCAAGGACCTGGATAGGAAGATGTTGTTGTTTAATAGTGTTAAAAGTATTGTTGCAGGATGAAACTTGCTCCAAGTAAAGCTGTCTTTTGCAATTGATGTATGAGGATTTTGTCAACACCAATGATATTCAACTGGTGCTCCAGATGTTTTAGGATTGCGCCCAAAGTGACTTTCACTATTGGCACTCTCTTTTGCCATAGTTGTTCTATTTGTATTTGCAGATCCTTATATTTTGTGATTCCTTCTCTTTTATTCTGCTGTCTCCAGGTACTGACAATACAAAAGACTTTTTGTCTTTTGTATTGACAATTGTTATGTGGCAAGTGCTTGTCTGTTTGAATTCTAAAATCTCAGAACCCTTTAGCTTCTTCATTTTCTATTACTTTGTCTATTTTGTGGGCCCATCTTTTCTTGCTTGCAAGCAAATGATATTTCTTGTAGCTCTTCCAAAGCACTATCATTGCTACTTCGTCATGCTATTGTTTGTGATCAGTCTGTGTGATCTTCTTGCAGCATGAGGTCCATTGTTTCTTCAGCTACTTTGTGGAGAAGGCATTTGCTAGTGTTGCTATCTTCTCAATTCTGCTTTATGTGCATTTGTTCTTAAAATTTGGTCTTGTGCAGATAGAGTAGTCCCATGTCTCTTTCTTAAGTTTTCCTGCTTTTAGCCATTGCCAGGTTTTATTGTTAGCTGTTTGCTTGCTATTTTTCTTAATGTACTGGCCATAAAATACTTGCCTTGCCATGTCTTTTTTCTATCCTTCATTTGATCTTTCTTGTTAGCCAGTTTGGTCTCCCCAGGACTTAGTAAGCCTTCGTTTTTATTATTATTTCTGTCTTGCATCCTAGAAATGTATATGGAACTTGACAGAAAGACTTTCCTTTGTATTAATAATGCCATTAGATTTGTATTTTTTAAAGAAAACATATTTTTTGAAACGATTAGTGGTTAGAATCCATGATCCTACAGTCACTCACAGGTTGTTTAGAATGTGCATTTTTTAAGAAAGTACCTTCTTCTCATTCTGTATGGTTATGTCTGAAATTGCAACAAAAAAATTGAAAGTACACAGTGACATGGCATGGCCTTCGAAGGAAAAGTCAGCTGCACAAGCAAATAAAAATAAAAATACTGGGCTCCTATATTAGGCCTTCTAATCACAACCTGTAACTTCCCTGTTATTATTTTAATATTTTGCCATAATACAAAGAACACTAAATTCCACAAGCTTGCTAACCATCAACCATTTACTAATTTTTGGTTGGAGTCATGAGAATTATGAAAATGTGAAGTGGCAAAGATGCTTCAAGTCTAGCCTGAGCATTCCTGCCATGTCTAATTAGCTGTTCCATACAGAAATCAAACTTCTCCTTACACAATTGTTTGAGTTAAAGAGGCATCTCGCCTGTTTTAGATCCAAATATTGCCCACCACCAGTACACATGTTATCTCTATAAAAGTAAGTTATACCAAGTTTAATGAACTTACTTCTTGTTGAAGAAATATTTAGCAGTTGCAGATACTTAATTTTATTTCATTTTTTCTTCAGGCCATGATCCTTTTTTCTTTGTTCTGGTGACAATTTTTTTCTTTTATTATGACCTCTGTTCAGCATGCCAATCAAAGACAGAATGTAGGCCTGACTTTAAAAAAGGCATTTAAAAGGATCATAGAGTCCTAGACCATTTATTGTACTGTAGCAAAGAACATACATCCATTGGCCTCTTTTCTTTATATCCAGCAAAATCCCAGGGATATTGATAAGCCCACTAGCAAGCACGTCTCTGCTGCATAATTCTTTTACCTGAAGAGTAAAATTTAAATCCTGAAAATGACACTCAAAATCTTCCAGCTTTGTAAACTGAGATGCTGCGACTGATTCACCATAAATAAAAGAACTGGGGGACACTGTTCTGAAGAAGGAAAAGACAGAATATATAAGAATGAGACTAATGACCTCATTTTATTTTAATTGCACAAATTAGTTACTTCTAATAGTTTTTTTTTTTAAAAACTTCCTATCTTTTCACTAAGTACTGTTATCACATAACAGAGAAACAGAGTTATGACTGGAAAATTAAACAGACAGGCCTCCAGCACGACCTCCTTTTCATGGGTACAATCCCAGAACATTTGACCTAAACCTTGGTCTAGTGGATCTGAACCAAAATAGCTAACTCAATCTCAGAAATCATCCCTTAGTCTGTAATCATTCTATGAGAAGGAGGGCAATCAATGCTAATATTTCAGTCTGAGAAATACTTGGGAAAAAAAGAGACGTTCTGGTCCTACCCTTATTTATAAACAAAAGAAAAAATAAATGATAATTTTTGTACCCAGTGATGGATGAATCCACTTCATGCATCAAGGGAATTGTCAACGTGAGAGAATTGTCCTGAAGATTGTGTTCCAAGTTCCCACTGCAGGAAACAAGAGAATCAAGGATATTATATACTGTAATGTCTTTTCATCCAGGAGCTCATTACAATATTCATACCATTCCCTTCTCCCCCCCCCCCCACCCAAACAACTTTGTGAGTTAAGCTGGACTGGAAGAGATTAACCAGACCAAGTCATTTTTATGGCTAAGAGTGGACTGTAACCTAACTCTTCCTGGTGCTTCACCAGTACCTTAACCACTATAGCACACTGGCTCTCATATTAACCAGGATGGGGCATCCTTAAGAGACCCTTAGTTGGACCAACTGGATTAAGTACTCTCTTCCCACTCCAAATGTACAGATGGATAATAGAGAAATCTCATTACGTTTTATAGAAGAACCAAAATCTTATAAGATATAAAAATCTAAACATTGTAAGCCCTCACAAGATTATACAATTTCATGTAAAATGTGAATTTTTATTTTTTATTTTATTAGAAATGCAGAAACCCTTTTTTGGGAGGGAAGAACTGACCCTTGCTATAAATCTATATTTTTTTGGGGGGGGGTCTGCTACATATCTTTAATATTAGCTTTTGCCATTATTTGATGCACTTCAAATATATTCCTATTGCTTGTCAATGGAATGTAAACTGAACTTCCTGTGACAGTCCTAAACAAGAATAATTTTGATGGGATTTTAAATTTTGGCCAGAAGCGAACTACAGTTCATCAAGTTGTTTCCAGTCTAGTGTAATTCAGCTTCTCAAACATATTGCTGATAGTAGCCATGATAATTTGTGCTCATTTGTGCTCATTTCTCCCTGAATAGGATGATGAATCCCCTACCTAATCCCTAAAAAACCATTGCTAGTCAACCTAATCCAGGTTTCCTCAGTTAGCCAGCTTGTCCAAAGCCTGAGAAGTTCATAGGGATTGCAGTTGAATATAGCTGCCCGGAGACTCCTGATAGTGATATGGGTGGCATATAAATTAAATACTAATTGAAATAAATAGATTTGGAGGCACTAGACAGGAGACTAGACAGGAGACTAGTATGCAAAAGTAGTTAAATCAGTACTCTGATGAGTCTCTGCATTTTGAAGTTAACAGAGATTCATCCTAAAACAGAGGTCTAACAGCATAACATATTGCATGTACATACATCGATATATACAACTGTTTAAGAGGATTTTTTATTTATAGATGCTGCCATTCATTTTTATTGGTTTTGATAGTTTGTTTTACACTTCAAACACCTTCAAACACTTAGCTCTCTGGAAAAGGCTCTAACGCTGGGAAGAGTGGAAGGAAAGAGTTGAAGATGGAAGAGCATCAGCAAGAGGCAATGGGTGCATGGTTGGAAGACCTGATAAGTGAGATAAGGAATAGAGCATCATGGAGAAAATCTATCCATTGACTTGTGGAGATATAACTAATCTATCAATTTATAAATTGATATCTGATTTAATATGGGGGAGATTATTTATCCTTTGTTCATTTTTAGTTGTGCCCTTGGCATTCTATTACCGAGATTGTAACCTAAGAGTCTCTTGAGTGTGTCAAAAAAAGAAAGAAATCAAATACACACACCTACATAAGTGTCACTGTGTAGGGCCAAGAATTTGACGGAAGTTACTCTTCATATGGTTAAGAAACAAACATCATGATGTTCTGCTCAGCAACTTAACTATCATCCTTGACCTTTTGCTTCATGCAATATTAGAAGGACATGCTACAGTCAGTATTTTATGTGTGCAGCCTAGCTTTTTATTTTAAAAATAGGAACATATGGATTTTATACTATACTATACTATGTAAAAATATAGGAAATGCAAATGTCTCCTTTTATGCAACTACTTTCAATATATTAAAGAAACAAAACAAAAACAGTAGCTTTTAATTTAGACGTAAGGAATCCAAGATCAAAAGTTCATAAAGCTGAGCAATGAATGAGCATTCCCATGTGATTCTCATCATTTCCTGTGTCTACCAGCAGATCGGACTACTATTTTATGGCTAAAAATAATAAGACGTGTGCACTGTGCATTAGGGTTTTCAACACACTCCCTGCCAAATCCCTATGCACCCATTACGAGGTCTCTATAGTAAAATGGAGAGAGTTGGTTCAAACTCTCTCTTAGCAGACTTTACAATATTCCCTGGGGCACAAAAACATTTTTCTCTGCCAAGCTTAGAAGAAATCTGAAACTAGAATAAAGGAAGCCTAAGATGGGGTGGGAGGGTAGGGAGGAAGAGCTTGCTATTTGCATATCTGCAAACCTCAGTATCAAATTAAATTTATCTGGCTTCTGAATAAGATTATCCAACAGTTATTTCATGGATGCGATAGTAAATAATGATTTCATAGGCATGACTGAAAGCTGTTTTTCAGTTACATTCATGCATGAATGAGGTAAATAAATCTATCTCATCTTGAAGATTATCTGACTCCTGCCACAGGACCTATTATAAAAAAAAGTCTAGTCATAACATCTCCAGCCAACTGGTATCATCAGAGACAAATATAACTCTACTGTACATGACATGCATGACTTCTAAATCTGATTGCGGCTGAATGGCTTAAGAAGTAATATATAACCTAAAAAACTTGGACATTCTGTTCAATTTAGGTTAGTTGGAAATTGAAAAATGTGCTCCTATCTTACATCTTAAGTCATGACAGAATGGAAAAGATTAAGCCAATACACTGGTCATTTTTTAAGCTGTTATCAGCTTTAGCGTCACAAACCCTCTGCACATACAAACCGTATGGCAGATCTTAATAAATCATGAATGAAAGCATGCTCTGCTTTTCTTCACTGATCTGAACAGGGGACTAACTGATTCATTACCTCCGTTTCAAATGTTTGCTTTTTCCTAATTTGGACATTAGCAATTTGCTTGCAAGTAGAGCCTATTTTGGAGGCCCAAGTGAATTTACCTATTACAATAAGTGTAGCCAGAGCTTTTTTTGTCATAGAATGCACCAGAACAGAGTTCCGTGGTGGCTGGCGTGGAAGCTTGCCTGACAGTGAAGTTTGCTGTTTTGGTTCCTTGGGTAGTTCAAAGGTTGGGATGTCTACGAAAATCTCTTTTTAGTCTTTTATACTTTATATTCAAACTGCAGAGGGGAAGAATAAGAATAAAGCCAATGTCTTGTGATTTGGAGGTATTATTATTAATAATAATATATATTAATTATGTACTGGTCAGATGTAAATGTAGACCTACAGTATGAGGTAAAGTAATCTGTTCACTGACAAAATTTCAACTTTAATTTGTTTCAAGTTAATATCCATATTAAACTCCAAATGTAATTTTTTTCCGCCTTGTTTGACAATTTCTTAAAAATAATTCAATCTTTTACAAGCAACCAAATTTTGTTTTATTGGGCTAATTTCATTCCACATAGAAAGCTGACATTTCCACTCATTAAACTAAATGGGTATGCCAGTGGTAAATATCCCAAAAGATTAATAAAATGCCTTCTTGTAATTTAAAGCCACACAGTGCATGGTAACATTAATAGTATTAACTTGCCCTGAACAAAATCCTAGTCTTTTAGATACACTAAAAATTGAAGAGGGTTTTTTTCAACTACAAAGGCAAACCTTGTAGGGTAGGCAAGGCGGGTTGTATGACGTGTGTGAGTTCTGGCACCTTTTTTTTTTTTTTTACAAAAAAAGCACTGGCTAAATATATATATGTATTTCAGGAAAATCTAATCCTTGTCTGTAAAGATATATGTAGAGCCAGTGCTTTTTTTTGTCATAGAACACAACAACAGAGTTCCGACACCTTTTTTCGACGGATTTTCCAAGTTTTAAAAGTAACTTTTGAAAATTTGATGTTTGGTTCACATGGACTTGAATCGCCCTGTCGAGCGTAGCAGATTGGCGGCAAAATCATTAAAATAGTGCATGCAGGCTGCTTGTGTGTTGATTTCGATGCATGCGTACTTTATCCACGCTGGTTGTGATGGTACTGCTCGATTTGTGGCACTGCTCGGTTTGTGACTGGTCATGTGGTCGCGCACTGAGTGCTTACTGCAAGTGGTGACCATTATGTTTTGTTACACAACTGACGTGTGTGGGGGGGTGTACAGTGATTGACTACATGTGAAAGGTAAATAATTTTTTTTATTTTAAAAAATCATTGAATTAAAAATCTTCTTTTAATTTTTAGTGTAAAATTTACTATGAACATTTGCCTTAAATACAATAAATTAAATTTATGTTAAGAACTGAATATATAATTTTTTAAATAAAAGATTAACAAGATGTGAGTTCCGGCACCTTTTTTCTTATAAAAAAAGCACTGAGTGTAGCCGAAGGTGTAGAGTGAGATACAATATAAATGACTAAGATTCAAATGGAGAGCTTCTGGATGCCACTGTAATGAATGCAAGAACAGAGCAAGCAGTAGCCATTTTGAATATAAAAAGTGCTCTGGGGGATTTCAGAGAATAGGCCATTTCAAGATTAGCAGTATAAATCATTTAATATGCTGATTTACATAACACTACTTATATTTTTCCATATAAGGTAATTCTTTTTAATTCAGGGCTTATCTAAAATGGTCTGCTTTTCTGAATATTCCTACAATCTATAAACTAACCCCATTATGAATGAAAGCAAATATACATACATGTCCCAGGACACATTCTGGTGAGAGAGAAAGTCCCTGAGGATAACTAAATCTCTGATCCCGATAACCAGCCCAAATCACATCCTGCAACTTTTCTCATTCCCAGTATAATAATCATGCTATTTGCTGGATTTTATTTACAATGAAGAAAGGATGTCTAAAACCACCTAATTATTGACTCCAAATTTAATCATACTTGATGAACACATATAAAAATCAAATGGTATGCTCCAAATATAGCTAATTTTGGATTTAATATGATAGATATGCTCCCTGAAATAATCTATACTTAAGACTTCTTAAGCCATGATTAAATCTTTTGGTAGAGTCGGAGAAAAATTGAAGGAAAAATATTGCCTTTTTAATAAGTTTTTGTTGTTGTTCAGTCACTAAGCAACCCTATGGACCACAGGAAGCCAGACACCCCTGTCCTCCCCTGTCTGCTGGAGTCTGCCCAAACTCCTGCCCACTGCATCAATTATACTATCTAACCATCTCATCCTCTGCCATCCCATTTTCCTTTTGCCTTCAATCTTTCTCAACATCAGGTTTTTTTTTCAATGAGTCCACTCTTCTCATTTGGTGGCCAAAGTATTTGAGCTTCGTCTTCAGTATCTGTCTTTCTAAAGAATAGTCAGGGTTGATTTCCTTTAGGATTGACGGATTTGATATCCTTCCAGTTCAAAGGACTATTAAGAGTCTTCTCCAACACCACAATTCGAAAGCATCAATTCTTTGGTGCTCAGTCTTCCTTATGGTCCAACTCTCACAGCCATACATTACTACTGGAAAAACCATAGCTTTCACTATATGCGTTTTCACTATATAAGCTATCTCTGCTTTTTAATATGCTGCCTAGGTTTGTCATAGCTTTCTTCCCAAAAAGCATGTGTCTTTTAATGCTATATTATCTTTGCATTATATTTCATTGACATAAGTATACTAAAGCAAAGTCCTATACTATATACCTGAATATAATCAATCTTTAGTTGCTTAGGATCAATAAAGAGCAATAGCATATTAATGAAGGAAATTCCTTATATCAGGGAATCTTGGACAACAAGGTCCCAAAAGTTCCCATGTCCATTGGTATGTTACATGATAGGGATATTAGCATTAAATTAGACAAGATGTTATTTTAATTTCACATAATGTCCTTGAAATAGCTTTGCTTTATACTCCATTGTTGTCCAGATGAGTTGGAGTTGTCAAAATTACCAGCCAGCATTTTCTGCCTGTCTACACAAGCTGAGAAATTTGGGAAGTTTATTCCTAGTTTTTCTGGGAAGATTTTAGGACAGTGACTACTACAATGGAATAGTATGGCAAATCTAACTAGTAAGTACAATCATCTAGTGGTGCTTCCAGCATTAAACTGGCATTTATTTTTAATGTGAACCTACTGCAGATGACACTGATAGACTCTTTCCTAATTGCCATGTATTGATTTCACTTCTGAGGCTATGCTTTTATTATTCAATGCCAGGAATGTAAACAAGTCATGTGTTAAGTCACAGACATAGTCCCAATGTGCCACAACAACAGAAACTGAATGTGAAATCTGTATTACCTCTGAGCAGATACAAGGAATGAAAGAATTTCTTCTTCCCCAGACAAATGGCTTGTGTCAAAAATAACACTGAATTCATACTAGGGGAAACAGAAAGCAACATTTAGCACATTGTGGATATTCGAATAAGCATGATTTCTATTTGACTATCTTCCTTTCATTACACTGTTGCATTTTTTTCAGCATCATTTTATCATATTCCAGATTTGAAATCACTATACATTTTCAAAGATGAGAAATCATATGATGGTGTTTTTCTGTGTACATACCCAACTTTCCCACTCTGACTAGGCATAATAAACACAAGGAAAAGACCTCGCAGCTATATCGTAAATGTATGTAAATAGTGGTCAGCAAGGGATTCGCCAGTTGAATTCAATCATTGCACAGACATAGTATAAAATAGATACTAATCATTCAAAAGGTAGAATAGGAGCATTAGATTTTACCTTTCCTGCTGGCTTCTCCCACTGAAAGCTGATTGGTGTTGCTACCACTTAGCTGACATACAAATCAGGATTATTTTTGTAAACTGTCAAAGCCATTGTGCTTCAACTATGAGGTTCAGCTTTGAAATGCTTTGGTAGAACAAATTATGTAATCTGGATTTTACTATCATATAATAAATTCTGAATATAGTCATTAATGTTTTGGTAGTATACTGAAAATATTTATCACTGACATCTCACAGTGAGGCAACACCCAAAACTAAAAAGGAAGATGACTGTCCACAGTAAGGGCTTTCTAGTTCATTTTGAACAGACATTTGTCTTTTCCTTACTGAAAAGCATGGAATATATATTCAGCTGAATTAGTAATAAAGTATAGTCTGCATTTCTGTTGTGTTTGAAATAGACTGTTGAACAATTTGTGCACAAATATATAGAGGGCAGAGTACCCATATCTTGGCCCCTTATAGACCTGTTAGTTTTGATCTAGCCCTGGTATTGGGGGAGGAAAGGTATGGTTGTATGGTTTATAACTTTTCTGAAACCCAAGCCTTGTTCTAGTAGACAACTTATGCTTAGGAAAAGCAAGCAACTGTGAATATAATATTCAACTTATATATTTGTACTGTAATACAAACCTGCTGTGGTATTAGTTTCATTTTCCTTCCTAAATTGAACTGACATGGATAGGAACTGACCAAAAACAAAACAAAACAAAACAAATGTAAATCTAGCCATGTTTATCAACAAATGACTTGACTCAATTGGAGACATACAGAACCAGGTCCGATTATTGGAACTATTTAAAGATAGTAATTTTTTTTTATTTCAGCACAATTGTCTTTTCCAGTTCCAAGAATGAAAAATGATGTTCAATGATTTATCTAATTAATTTTCCTGCCTTTGGGTATTTTGCATATTGACAATGGAATGTGGGTGCTGTTTGTTACTACACCTCAAAGAGCAAAGTCTCTTAAACCGATCCAGCACAGAATTAAACTTGAAAACATTCAGAAACACTATCAAAATATAACAGCATAATCTACAGAGTTTATTTAACAAATAAAAAGTTTAAAAGAAAAAAAAGATATTTTATTTTTATTAGTTCTGTGCTGTATTCATCTGACCTTAAATCCTCTGATTTAAAGCAGGCAAAAATACAAAACACAGCAGAGCAACTAGGGACACCAATGGTAGACATCCCTCTTCAAAGGCTTTGCCAAGGTAGAATCATTTTCTGGGAACTAAAAAAGATTCCCATTTGAATTCCTGATCAACTTCCATTAGGATTCTGTGGTTATGAATAGCTGTCACTATCCTCTCCCTAAATTTTACCTAGTGAGGTAAAATTAGCAGCTCCTTCTAAGAAAAAACAAAGAACTAATCCAGTGCTGAAAAATGAGTCTAGCGACCGGACGTTGAAGTTTCAGAAATCATGTGATCGTGATTTCAGTGCTTGGCAACTGGCACTTATTTAGTATGGTTGCAGCAACCTATGGTCATGAAATTGCCATTTGAGACCTTCTCATCCAGCTTTCAACAAGCAAAGTAAATGAAGAAGCCAGCAGGAAATTGTAAGCCGTAGACAAGTGATAGCACATTTAACCATCCACTGTGATTCACTTAACCATTGCAACCAGAACTGATATCACACAGTGGCATAATCACATGAATTTTCATTTAATGACTGTGTTGCTTAGTTGTCCATCCCAAGTGTAGTTGGTAAGCAAGGACTACCTGTAGTTTATGGTCCACAGTTTTCTAGCACTGATGACGTTACCTAGTTTGGATAATAAAACATCTGCAAGAAAGCAAGAAAGCTCAGAGAGCACCAAGGGCCCCACTCCACACATTTCTTTGCTATGCAGGGAAACTCACTGTTGTAGGAAACCATCAAGCAATACCTTGGATTTAGATTTCATGAAGGGAAAACCCACGCTGCACTTAAGGAAGTCTGAGTCCGGTTCCAGCAATTCGCAAGCAATACCCATCTCATCCTGAAAGAAAAAGAAGGGAAAGCTTTTTAAAAAAACATTTTAATGAATGAGTATATAGCAGAAAAAAATTGGTGGGATCTAGATTAATTCAGCAGCATAGAGGCTGCATATCTACTCACTTATCCAAGAGGAAAGTACTGCAATGAGATTTATTCTGGATAGATTTATCCTGCATCTTTCTAATGAAATTAGTGGAATGTGTGTTATGACTAATTTTCCCTTTTTAGTCTAAGCCAATCAACAAATAGATAAATAAATACCAAAAACAAAAGATAAAATGAATAGAAAACCAGAGAAAGAAAGAAATCAAGCACCCTACTAGTGCCAAGAAACATATCCAGAGTGCAAAATAGTCATAAGAAAAAAAATATTCAGCATCATTCTGTCATTTTTACCTACAGAAAAAAAATCTCATACATAATTTGTTTTTTAAACTGTATACATCAGTGATGGTGAACCTTTTAGAGACTGAATGCCCCAAAACCACCCCCCACCCCCGTCCCTGCTCCGCTCTGCCCACTGGGCCACCCACCACTTCCATGGCCTGCCACAGGTCACTCAGGCAGCCCAGTAGCACTATGGCAGCCACGCCCTCCACCCATGCCCCGCAGCAGCATCTGCGTGCGACGGGGCGCAAGGGCAGAATCTTGTCCCCACTGCCCGGCTACCATGTCCTTAGTTGCGCTGCTTCGCGTGGGCCGTGCCCAGGGGTGACTCTCCTCCAGAAGGGCTGTTGGTGAGGGGGCCATGGGAGGAGGCAGGGCTGGGGAGACGGTGCATGTGCCCAGAGAAAGGGCTCCGAATGCCGCCTCTGGCACCCATGTCATAGGTTCGCCACCACTGGTATACATCATGGTTTGAGATTTATATTTTGTTCATTTTGGGCCATCTTTCTTTTTTTAGGCTCCATCCCATTCTTGAATTATAGAGTATTTTATAGAAGTAATCCTACAGCTTAAAATCCTCACTCTGCCTGCTGAATTTGAGGCTAAAAACACAACATTTAAGCTCTTTCAGAATATAATTACACCTTCACATTGTTTGATGCCATTTAAAGCATCAGGATACTTAAATGCATTCTATTTTTCTTGTAAAATTCATTTCTTGAATTTCTCACTTATTAAAGCAAACATCAGTTGCTCAAATGACCTAATTAGATGTGGTTTGTTGATCTATTATTTATTGATTACCTTACTTGCCTTTCTTAGTATTATAATACTGCACATGTGCACAGATCGGGGGGGGGGGGAAGACACGGAGATACTGTACCACGCATAGATATAAATAAAATTAGCACCAGCAGTTGAAAATGGCGGAAATGACACACATCCCTTCCTCTCTCAGATGGTGTAAAGCTGGCTTTGTCTCTCAACATAAATCTGCTACTACAAATTTCCCATTTAGGATTACACTTTCAACTTTTCAAAATAACTACACATAGGTGAAAAAAAATCAAGCTAACTCTTAACTACAATCAAACAAACCTGATATAAAAAGAAAACAGTATCAGAAAAAATAAAATTAAAAAATAGCAAATTTAATCACACAGTTCTTTACATATTCCCAGAAACATCTATGTGACCTCATCATTGATTCACTTTTTGGAAACAGATTAGTGCCGTGCTCTTGACATTTTTTTTAAGTGGAGGGAGAACAAAAACAAAAAAAGAATATTTTCTTTGGCATTAGGCACAGATGTCCTGTTCCTTTCCATGTTCTCATTAGTAATTCTGAGGTGTAGACATGCCCCCTATCAAGCTTGAGGTCGACCCATGCCCCCCACCAAGCTGATTCAGGATTCACATCATTGATTCCCTGCTTACTTTAGGAGAATTCATTCAATAATATTAATTACAGGGAAAAAATGTCCACTGCCTCCCCACACACACATGCCCTTTGGGTGCAATTGAGGCTATTTTTGGATCATGAGATCACAGGCGTTGACATACACAGGAAGGCTGCAAGTGAAGGAAGGAAGGACGGGGGAAAAAAACTTCATCAGGAGATTTCAACAAAGTTCACCTCCCCACACTTTTAAACTGTAGGAAGAAATGGTTAATACAAAAATAACTCAAAAGGTGATGCTGATGTGTCCAAACAAAAGTATTGCATCAATCTGAAACATGAAACAAAACACACAAAAATACAGATAACTCACAGATCATAGCGAATATGGGAGAATGAGCAAGTGAGATGTGTATGTGAGAAGTACAAGGTGATATAGCAGAAGAAAGAAATGGGCAAATACTTAAAAAATGAGATATGCGATTCTACATTTTTTGAAACAGAATTAAAGCTTTGTCAGTATTACCTTAAATATCTCACTTGCCCATTCTTGAAAGAGGTTGTACCTGCCTCTTTAAATTTTTCCAGATATTTAAGTTAACATTCACCAAAATGTTAACTCCACTTCAAAAAGATACAGAATCACATATGTCATTTCTCAACTATTTGCAGATCTCTTGGAACAGCTATATTCAGACTCTTCAAAATTGATCCATTTCTGTGCTAAAGTCAGAACGAGTCAGATACAGTAATGTCTCAAAAGAATTAACTGCTCAAATATCAGGACTGTTGAGCACTTTTCTTGTTCCCCAGCTAAGCAAATCAGGTGTGAGTATGTGTTAGAATTACTCTGGAATATGAAATCTATTCTAAAACATTGGGGGAAGACTTGAAGTGATAAAAGTACTCTTGCTGTTTTCACAGCAATACAGATATTGCCACTTTTTTCAGGCACCCTTGAGGAGTAATTTTTTTCCTAACCAAGACAGAAAAGTAGAACCAGCAATACCTTCCTCCAACTTTATACAACACTTCAGACCCCACTTAGGCAAGACTCTTATCACATTCATTCAACTATTCTCAAACTGGCAAATACTTTAAACTAGTGCATAGTCAGAGCCTTGATTAATCACAGCAGGTAAAATATTTTCTTCTGTGATGAGGAAAGCAAGAAGGAAGAGATTTTGCTACTGTTGTATGTAAAAAGAAAAAGAAGTGGCAGAATAGCTAACAAAAAGATAGTGTGAAGAGAAAAGGCAAGAGGACAGGAAACGTATGATAGACCAAGACCTTCCCAAGATCGGGTGCTGTCTGGAAATCAAGCAGCTTCCTATGTTCCTTTTATTAACCCAGTGGGTGAAATGGCTTCTTATCTAGGGACTCAGATGTGTATATGTATGTGCCTTTGAGTCAGTGTTGTCTCCTGGTGATTGCCTGGGCAAATTCCTTCTGTTTTCTTCTCAAGATTTACAGAAGTGGTTTGCCACTGTCTGCTTCCTAGGGCTGAGGTCACCCAGCTACTTGCGTGACTATGACAGGACTAGAACTCATGGTCTCCCTATTTCTAGTCTGGCACCTTAACGACCTCACCAGACTGGCTCTCCCTAAGACAATTGAGTTATTATTATCCATGACGGTTTTGAGACATAAAATGCTCATAAACATAAATATGAAAGGATGTGTAAGTATAAAAGCAAAAAACCCAAAAGGTTTGCAGATTGCTATACCGTTCTCCTACAATGTTTTATAAGTGTGAGAGTTGGACACTAAGAAAGGCTGATAGAAGAACTGATGCTTTTGAACTGTGGTGTTGGCATAAATTATTGTGAATGCCATGGACAGCCAGAACAATCAAGAGAGAGGTGATGAGTCGTACAAAACCAGAAACATCACTAGAAGCCAAAGTTACAAGACTACGTCTGGTTTACTTGGCCATTTTGTCTGTGCAAATTCACTGGAGAAGTCATTGATGCTAGGAATGGTTAGTGGATCAAGGAAAAGGGGCAAGCAAAGAACTCACTAGCTTAATACCATCAATGCTGATATAAAGATGAACATCCAACAACTGAAAGAAGTTGTGCTTGACAGGGTAGCATGGAGAGCATTTGCCTATAAAGTCACCAAGAGTCAGACACTGAATGGTTAAAACCAACTAATACCCTTTTCATGTACGCCAAGAAATTTCTTCTTTGACCATTTACTTTGTGAACATTTTGACAAAGCTATTAATATATCATCATGATTGTTTCAAAACTCATATCCACAACTGGGATTCTATCATTCGAAGCAAAAAAAAAAAAAGTTTGAGGGCTCCTTAAGAAATATATCTAAATAAATTTTAAAAGAATGTAAGAAGTACATTATCAAAGTATTATTATCAATGTAATGCATGATAAAACTAAATGGAACCTTTTCACAGTGAACAACTTTAGCTTATTAATATTCTCATTTAAAATTTCTGTCAGGTAATCTTCATCTGTGATAGCAGATAATCTCTGTGAATGAGAAACACACAAATAGTGAGTTCCAATTATAACTACAAAAAGAAATTACAAATGTAAAGGAAATATACCATGTTTGTATGTATTAGGAATTTTAATTAAAGCAAAGATTTGACATAGTTGATAGATGCATTTGGGAATTTCCAGTGTAATGTTTCAGAAACAGAACTAAAAACACAATTTCTTTAATTTTTACCTAGGTTTAAAGTGTGAAATCCAAACTGATGCGATAAATAGTGCTCTGAAGTAAACATCTCAATTTAGCAATGTGCACTGCCTGAGGACATATCACACATGACATAGCTTTCAGGTTCCCAAATGAAAACATACAGAATTACTTGCATGATGAAAGAGCAAAAGGAAAATCCCAACTAGAGTTCATATGTTTTCTTTTCATTCATGTTCATTTCCATGCATGCAAGCTACATCTAATCCTGCACTGGAAAGGAAGTCAGAAGAATTGCAGGTAGTCCTCGACTTAACAGCATTTCGTTTTGTGATTATTCAAAGTTACAACGGCACTGAAAAAATGGATTTATGGCCATTTTTCACACTTAACGACAGTTACGGAATTCCCATGATCATGAGATCAAAATTCAGACGCTTGGCAACTAAGTCATATTTACGATGGTTGCAGTGTCCACCTTTTTTGATCTTCTGACAAGCAAAGAAAGCCAGATTCACTTAACCTTGTTACTAAGTTAACAACTGAAG